CGGTTGGCGTATGAGCCAGCTGAGCGCTTACTGGGCGCTAGGGGAGGAAGATTTTATCGACTATGACTCGGACGACGGGCCTGCGGCAGACGCCCCGCGAACAAATTCGGACGCGGACCCGTATGCTCGTATGTCCTATTTTTTATATCCCAGCAGGATCACTTTATTGTTTTGTTTCAGGCGTGTTCTTTTCCAAGGACCATCGCGAGGAAATCATTGAAGTGGAGGAGGAGCCGGAGCTCGTGTTTCTCCCTGGGCATGGGGAGCAGGTGAAGCTCATGACGCAGGGCGAGTGGATGAAAGGCTGCCCGCCGCCTTCGGGCGGAGAGCAGAGCTTCCTCTTTGCACTGTATTCCCAGTTGAGTGACGGGAAGTGCGTGTGTCCTCACGAATGTGGCTCATCGGTGCTACGCAAAAAGAGCGACTTCTTCCCCATCTTTGTACGTCGTCCGTTTCTCAAACACCTCCCCGCTAAGCATTTCCTTCGCGGCAGCCCGAGTTTTCGTCGTATATTGCACATCTGCGAAGCGTCGTGCAGAAAACTTGCCAGCGGTGCCATTCGGAATTTTGCTTTGCCTGCGGCGAGCCAGTAACTGAGAAGGTGCAACGTCCCGGGGCTGCGGCCCCTGGTGATTCCTTGTTTCATTGCGCCGACATCCAAGGCGTTATTCTCGGTGTCGGTCTGTCAATGCTTGAGCAAATGTTCACTGAACAAACTCACGAGTCGAGCGCCGCTGCGCAGGACCCCAAGACGCGGGGCAGCAGTAAACGTAGGAAAACTGGAAAGATGTTCTCGAAGGACACTGACGACGACGACGACGAAGCTTACTACAATTTGGGCCCTAGCGGAAAGAGAGCCAAAGGCGGCGTGGGCTATGCTGGTGACCAGAAAGAGGATGTAGGTATTTTATCTCTGGAACCGTTGGCGTTGGTTTTAAATTTTCGCCCCAGAATTCAGGTCAAATAGAGGCCCAGGCTGCACAGGCCGTCAAAGACGCGAAGATTGGGACACTCCTCACGGAAATCGGTGTTTATCTTCCTTCTTTACATCGCGAAGGCCACCATCCAAGTGATTTCCTTCCGCACCCAACGGCTTTGGCACATCTCCGAAGACGCTTCAACTACGTGTCAAGTGCGCTGCTGAGGAACGATTCTTTGGCAGATATGTCCGACCGGTCTGTCCTATACTTCAAGCTGCTAGAATGGCTGGAGGTAAGCGTCTGGTGTGAGTTTCGCTATGCAGTCGACTCTTTACACGTTCGTAGACAATCTCCGCCCATGAAGCATTAGCGAGTATGATGGCCATGCCTATCATGACAATATCCTCTGTCAAGGCGGTCACAACGAGGAAATCGGCCAACAACACGCCCATCCGAGAACGAACCATCATCTACGAAGGAAGTGCCGGCCCGCGAGAGCTATTGGAGGCTATCGCTATCCAAGCGCATGCGGCGCTCAAAGCGTTGGAGAGTACCAAGGCCCCGGAGACGGCTGACGAGGAGCTGACAGAGGAGCAGAAGCGCATGACGGTTGATTCCAAGGGAAAATCCAAGGAGGTTTCCGCCCCGATCGCCGACGAAAACCAAAAGCTGCTCGACTTTTGCCAACGGATTCATGCCACAGCTAACGCTATTGACCGCTCGTTGCGGGAGACCAAGGGCGACGCGTTCGTTGAGCGGTTGCATGCGTCGCTGCCCAAGATCCTCACGTCGTCTTCTGATGAGGGGATGCTGGTCGACGCGGGTGCCACGGAGGAGAGCGCAAAAAAGGCGTATGTGGAGTGGGCTACCCGTGTCAGATTCGAGTACTGCGATTTGACCGTCCCGGCCACGGCTCCCGCTCCAAACGAGTCCGACCCGCAACTCCCCCATTATAAATCATATTACAACAACGAGATTCGTATGCTGGCCTTGTCCGACATACCTAAACGGTCCCTTGCCATTGCTAAAGAGGTGAGAATTCGCTATCGGCTGGTACCGAGGTTTCTGACGTTCTGAAAAGCTCTCAATCTTGACAAATAATCTACCCATTGCATGGGACTCGTCTATATTTTTGCGCATCGACGAGACTCGAGTCGATGTGATCAAGGCCCTGATTACGGGCCCTGAAGGGACACCGTATGTTTTTAACTACTTTGATGTTCTCTGCTGACTCCTGGTGTATAGATATTACAACGGCTGGTTAGTTGGCGTCTCCATGTCATGAAATTTTGGCTCACAATGAGAAACAGTTATCTATTCGACATATTCCTGGGTCCAGCCTACAACCAATCGCCTCCTAGTGTCAAATACATGACGGTAAGGATTTGGTGGAGGCTTGTCATCTCGATACTTATAGCACGCTTTCTCCAGACTAATGGCGGTAAATACCGATTCAACCCCAATCTCTACGCAGTAAGTTCAACGCAATCGCCGTCATTTGCCATTTTAACAACATTATGATTAGGACGGGAAAGTTTGTCTATCCTTACTGGGAACATGGCAAGGACCCGGCTGGGTGTCTGGACGGTCGACGCTGCTTCAGGTTCTCATTTCCATCCAATCCATGATTCTCTGCGAGGAACCCTACCTCAATGAGCCAGGGTGGGCAAACAGCGCTGGAACTGCGCAGTCCCGCGCATACTCTGCCAACGTGCGGCGAATGGTTGTTAGGACCGCGGTTCGTATTGTCAGCTGGTCTGTTCTGTTGCTTTCTGCTCAACCGAAATTCCCTAGATGCTCGGCAACTTGCAAAACCCGCCCGAGCCTTTCGCAGACATCATCCGCACGCATTTCCGGCTAAAGGCCAAGTCCATTTCCGCCCAACTTGATCAATGGCTTGCGCAGGACGATGGTAAATCGACGCTTGGTGATGGTGCGGGTTTCGATGGAGCAGGAGCTCGGCAGGCCACGGGGACGAGCTCAAACGGTTTGGCGGCGGATGTGGCTGAGATGAAGAAAGTGATGAAGGAACTGCAAGCTGGGTTCGGGACGAGTCGACGAGCTTGAGCTGTAAAGCGGCAATAAGGCGGCAATGCCATGTACTTATCTCAAATTGATCCCCGCAAGCCTGATGGCATGTGATTGTACTTGTAATATCCAGCCGCGACCGTACTTTAATTGTCATTTCTGATTTGGCGCGAACGTTTCTTATCCCTTTCCTTCAACACCTCGTCGACTAGTCGAAATAATGAGCGACTCTGTGATACATGCCGTAGCCGGCGGCGCTGCTGGCATCGTTGCGATGACCTGCACTTAGTGAATCCAATTGTTTTGGCGCGTCGGCTTGGGCTGACTCTTGCTCAAGTCCTTTGATCTTTCTATCCACCCGCGCAGCCGTTGAAACCAAGAACGAATCCAAGGCATCTTTCTCGTCTAGCAGGCATAGCATGGGAGCTCACTGGACTCCAGACGGTTTACCAGGCTGTATTGGACATCATCAAACGCGAAGGTCCTTTAGGCTTGTACAGTGGCCTGAGCTCGAGCCTATTGGGCATTGCGGTAACCAACGGGTATGCCATGAATTCGCGTCAAGGTCCCGAATTGACAATTGACAAGCGTATATTACTATTTCTACGAGCGTTCCCGAGGAATCGTGCAGAAAGGTAAAGCGCTGAGTACGCCAGAGTCGATTTTAATTGGGATTATTGCCGGTGAGCATATTCTTCGCTCCCTGTCAAGTGTCTTCGTTCGAAACTTCAAAGGATCTGCAACCACAATCATCTCCAATCCCATCTGGGTGGTTCAGGTGTCACCGACTTTCCAATCGGTGTGCGTTTTCTGACGCGATTTTATCCAAGACTTCGCAGGCTGTGCATACGCTGAACCAGGGTGAGTCGTCGCCAGACCCTTCAAAGACCGCGAAGAAGCTGTCAATGTGGGAAACAATCCAAACCATACTGGCGAAAGATGGTATCGGGTAGGGGTTGCGAATTGGCAAATAATTTCATCGCTGAGACCCTTCCAGAGCATTCTGGCGTGGCATTGGTCCCGCTCTCGTGCTCGTAATCAACCCGGTGCTTCAGGTTAATGCGTTCAAAGCTTTTTTCCGCAGTCACTTGAACTGGAAGACAGTACACCGTTTTCGAACAACTCAAGAACTTGCTTATCGCCAGAAGAACAACTAAATTGAGAGCCGCTGGGGCCGCTGCCGCAGTGGCCGCGCTGACTGACTGGGATTTCTTCCTGCTTGGCGCGTTGTCGAAACTTGGTCCGTTAATTCCTTCTTGAGCTACCGTTTCAAACAACCACAATCTCCATAGTTGCCACGGCCTCGACCTACCCATACATGTACGTCGAGCGGCTCGTTTAACGTTGATGTTACTAACAAACAGTCAGCGTTGTGAAGAGCCGTCTTCAAGCAGGCCAGGCGCATGCTCTCAAGTACAAGTCGGCGTTGGACGGGCTTCTTACTATCCTGAAGGATGAAGGGCTCCAAGGACTTTACAAAGGCGTCGGCAGCAAACTCATTCAAAGTGTTTTGACTGCAGCCATTTTATTTGCGGGCCAACGCCGTATTTATGAGATTACCAAGAAGGTGCGAATTTTCATCTGCGTTTGAGCTGCGAATTTATCTAGCCTCAGACCATCTCTGGGTAGTTTGTGCGGTAGATACCTTGTCCATATAATACTACCAGATTGTAATTTTGAGACAACCCTCTGGAAGCCTCTGGACCGATTTGATTCTGACGGCTTGAGTTCGCTTGCAACTTTTTATTTCTTTTGGTAGCGCCCTACGATAAGCCACACTTATACAACCTGCGGCAGCCGCCCCAGCCGATCCCTGACCTCATTAGTTCACTGGGCACGGTTTGAATCATTGCCCAATATCGCAGGTCTAAAAATACTCACGGTATTGATGGTCGCGATTCAAGAAGGCCTAGATCCATCTGTACTGATTCTTACCCTGTAAAATCGAGGGAAAGGCAAGGGAAAGGTGAATGGAGGTGCAAAGTTGTCGCAGAACATTAATTGAAGAAGACTTGGTTCATAATAACGATAAAAGTCTGCTCAATGTTCAATCCGACTTTAGCTCAGTTGGAAGAGCATCAGACTGTAATTGGCTACCGTAATTCACATCTGGGTGTCGCCTGTTCGAACCAGGCAAGTCGGATTCCTTTTTGGCGTCTCTCCCTTCTCAGGAAGGTCTCTAGAAGGTCCTGAAGTGCGTCGATCCTTCTTAAATATCTGACCCTTTTATAGACACCGAAGGTCACGATAAAAAATGCACTAAGGCCGATAGGGGTCGCGACTTGGTGCATTTTCACTATCCTTACGTTTTTGTTCGATGGACTTTGGCTGTGGATGCGGGGAACGCGATAAAAAAGCGGCAAGTCAACGAAAATTTTGAGCACGCAAATATTTCGGCATAGCCACTTTAAAATTGGTTCTAAAATGTGTCAGGGGAGCTCCGAGGTTGCTTAACTGTACTCACAGGCTCCCCAAAGATGCCGATACCATTCGAGTCCATCACAGACGCGAAACCGTTTTTTAAAACGGAATTGATCAATTTAAAATTGATGGAAAATTGCGAAAACTCTGCTCACGAAATGGTGATTTCATTCTGAAGATGCGCCAGGTGTATGTGACGAAGGAGAATATTCATGACCCTCATAGATGGCTGGAATCGAAGCATCGAAAGTTAGGATTTACTTTTGGTTTTAGTAGAATTGACCGATCATACTTGGACAGACCGTCCATTTCGTCGTTCTCAAGGCCAGTGGAAACAGTGTTGTTTCTGCAGGCTTTCCTGTGATTCGTGACCAAGTTGAACACAGTTCAATACATCGTGATTGACAGGACAGAGTGATGAATCGCTCGCGCTCGGACGAGCATTACTTCGGGTCGCAATGCTTCGCATCAGGACAAAGAACTTATATAGGAGCCAGATATAGCCAGAAATTCCGTGAGATGTAAGGAATTATTGGACCTGGTATTGGTGCAAGCTACCCAAAGTGCAAGACGTGTTTAAATAATATGACGCGCAGAATGAGGTCGCGTGACCGCGTTTCATAGAAATGCCGAGCGTGCCGTCACGATGTCTGCAAAGTCTTTCATACTTACAGTTACACTCTCTCTGCTGAACCCTCCGAACAACGTCTTTGACTCCCTTCGGCATCTCTTTCCACGCTGCCCCGAGCGCGCCCGCCTGGTTCGAATTTTGACCTTTTCGAACCGGACAAGTTGAGTTTGGATTTTTATTGTCGACGAAGTAGGCCACAAGACGCTTACCAGCTACGAAATTTGGTGCAAAATTGTCCTCAGTGAACCGAAGATTTTGGGAACTGCCTAATCTGGCATTCGGCGTTCTTTGCTTCACATTGTCCAGCCAAACAATCACTGCCACGAGTCCTTCTGCTTCCCGCCTTTCTACTATTCTAGCTCATCAAAATGAGTAAGAAAGGTGAGCCTGTGAGCTAATTCGCAATACTCTAGCTTATCAGCAGGCAGTTCTCAGAGCAGTCGCCTTCATATCACCAGAAAACCGACCCATCCTCATTCGCACTTTTTCGAATGAAGATGACCATGCTAGTGCCATTAAATATCACTACATAGCGCATACGAGCCTTGACGCACGCACTTCCCATTATACTCTAAGGCTCGAACTAAATCGCCCCTCTCCAGGTGATAGAAGAGCGAGGTTGAACCTTCTTTCTTCTTTAACTTCACCCTTTAACCGCTGGACCAGTGGCCGCTGGAGGCAAATCCACCGAATGCTACCTTGGTCTGCTCTATGCCATGGAGGACGTGGCTGTTTACGGGTACATCACACCTCTAAAGGTTCGGCGTTTGCGTGCCTTGTGTGCCCTTCTTGACGTCTCCAAGGTCAAAATCGTAATTGCATTGGCTCTCTCGGACTCTGTGGTCCGGGATGTAGAAATCAATCTGGTGTGTAGATCTCTACCGCGATAGACTGTGGAAACTGACTCGCCTGTAGCTTTGCAAAGCTCTGCATATGGCCTATTATTCGGCCTTGTCGAATCCATTTTTGAAACTAGATGCACCTACAGATGCTACCAACGACCATTCGCCGTATCTTCTTGTCGGTCGTTCTAATTGGAAGAACTTTCGCCGGCGCCTCGATGAAATTAGCAGAGTGGTCAGCAATCCGTCGAACGTGTCGGGCACATGAAACCCCCGTCGGTTTTCCCCAAATGCAACTCATTCATTCATATATGAGACTTGCGATGGGCCACTTCGGTGAATAAAACCTATATCGACATTCCCTTCATTGACTCAGTTGACTCGAGCTTTCCGCTTCTGAGACAGATACGGGGAAAACATTTATGCTCTGTACTCTATGTATTACCCAACATCGCCTCTTCGAGTTCTCCGAGTCCTTCGACCGCCTCTCGTGCCATTACCCGGACCACCATGTCTCCGTCAGTCGAAGCTACGTAGCCCAATGTTGTCCTGATTCGTTTGAACGACCTATTGGAAAACTCTATGTGGGCTGACTCGTATATCTGTCGCGTGGTTTCGCGAATCAACAGCCCAAGGAAGTGCAGCGCTGCTCGTCGGAAGGGGGGCAGTTTTGAGTTTGCCGAGAGCGGATTGTTATCGTCCGACTCTGTCGAAACGTTGGAGGAACTTTCGATCTGAAGTAAATCGATCATGGCTTCCGAGAGGTCTGTAACATATGGGATCAGGGCCAGCGAACAGGTGTTCTCACATTCAGCCAGTAATGAGAGCGCTGACGTTCGAAGCGTTGTGGGAATCTGCGAGGAGCGAACGACATGGAAAAGCGGAGGTACCAAGATATCAACTTGGGAGTCTTTAGTTTTAGTTTTGGTGACGGGCCAGCGTACGGAAACAACTTACTGAAGGCAGGTAAAGCAGAGCCGCATCTTTTGATTACAGACGCGAGGGCTTCCCCAACTCGGATGCGGACGTCGACATCATGTTGTGTTATATTACTGGCACCGAGCCCATCGAGCCCCTCGCTATATTCCTTCACAAGGCCCCTTAGAACGTCTTTGCCATATGTATCCACCATGGTCGCAAGACCTTGCACGGCATTAAGGAAGATGTATGAATCATCGTCTTGCACGGACTGCAAAAATATAGACAGAATCGCCGGAACCAGCGCTGGATCTGAGAGCTGAGCCCCTGCAGCAGATGTCTGTGGGGTGACTAGCTGTCGAAGTAGGAGCAATCCATGGGCTCTGACGGGTAATATAGGATCCTGAAGCAGTTTCAGAGCCTTTTGATAAGTCTCTTGGGTGGTGTCTTCTTCCCGAGCGCTTCGCTTTGGTGCAGAAGTGGAGGCTAGACGGGCGGTCATGACCATCCGCGCCTCACGCGCCAAAGAGCGCAGCGAAGACGATGCAGACACGGACAGTGGTTCCAGCAGAGAGAATATCTCATTGAGAACAGGCGCAGTCCTCGCCGAGAGGTCCTCATTGGCTAACTTGGTCAGGTTTAAACAGCGGTTAAAACAATCGACTAACCTTCAAGTACGGCGAGAAGCAAGTTGACCGAGGTTTCGATCATTTCATCGTCCGGAGAAATAATGTCAGCGCCTGGGGTGTCATCATCGCTGTCGCCTTCGTCCAAGTTGTCGAGATTGAATGTATACGGAGGGGCATTGGAGGGCTTTTTTGTCTCGGATTCCGGACGCCCAGAATCAAGAGCATGTTTCACGAACGACAGCATGTGTGCTGGCTTCCCGAGGATGGTAGAAGGCCCGTCTGACAGTTGGGTCTGCATTTGTACGACCAGTTGCAGGAAGAGCAGGGTTCTGAACACATTGAGAAAGCAGTAAAGAACGTGTTAAACGCACTGACCGGGTAGGATCGCCGTCCGTCTCCGATTTTGAATCCCGATATGATTCCAGTAACCGAACGAAAAGATCAGACGATATATCTGTGCGTTGGATTGATTTCAGAAAGCGGACGAAATGCACCGGATCTGGGTATAGGTCCAGAATATTGGTATCAAGGTCAATATCTTCGTCGTCCGCTGGTGTTAAAAGTGCCAGTGAAGCCGGTTTGTCGGACCTAGGGCTCGGTAAGCGGGCATGCAATATTCGGGTTATTTTGCTCACTTCTCGAGGCGAGTGATCTGACCCTCTAAATCTACACTCCACTCGCCACCTTGGCCGTCAATCACAGACCATAAAATTGTAAGGGCTTCTGTGGCGCCGACGACCCTCCCCCATGTCCCCAGTAGTCCGTGGAGCACTTCTTTTAGACTCGGATCGGACGTCTTGACCTGGTCCAAATAATAGAGCAGTGAATACAACGCCGAGACGACTGGTGAGAGGAGGGAAGATATGAGAGTGGGAGAGGGATCGGTGTTTGTGACGAGCATCATGATTGTGGATAATGCGATCTGGGGCGACGAAGTTGGATTAACGGAAAGAAGGGGAGGGTGTAGGAAGGCAAGGACAGCCGGACCCGCGGGCGTTGCGAGCATACGGGATATGGAAAATGCTCCTGCCCTTCTATAGGGTGGGGGAGCACGATCAGACAGCAGCTCGAGAATTCTCGGAGTGATGGTAGAAAAATACGCCTAGTCGTCGTAAGTCAGCGGTAAATAGAGTGCTTAATTTTTCACCTCCGCTGACATCCCGGCTGGCGGAGTCGTCAATACACGCGCAACATGCTCGATTTTCTCCAGCTGAACTTCATCGGCGTCCTCACCAAAGACAGCAGCGCACAATCCTCGGACGCCCTCGGGCCGTAACAACTGCTTGCTAAGGAGAGACGCACACGCCTTGTGGACGTGAGGCGGACAGGGCTTCACCGACAACACCGCTCCCAACGCAGTTATAGTTTGCGAAGGTGGCAGACTAGCAATATTCAAAATTTATTCAGACACAGTGGTTCGAGACGCACGTATCGAGAAGGCGCAGCGTCAGAGGGCGCGTCGATCCCGGTGTTGAATCAGACGCGAGTGACTTGGGAAGCCAGCCAATCGCAATGCACGGTCTCAAGAGTTGATCGAGGTGCCGCGTCAACAGCGTAGTAGTTACGAATGTAGGCGCATTGGCGGGAAGGGCAACGCTCAGCAGCCGAGAGACCATGCCGCACAGAAGCCTGTAGTCTTCTGGCGCGGTGGTGAGATCGATGATCTGTGGCCGCGCGGACTTGCTTGGCCAGGCGAGCATTG